AAAAAAAATAAAAATATTTGATTTGAACATACTTAAAAAAGCAAATTAAAAGTTTACTAATGGGATGAGGAAATATATAATACATGTTATAATAACATACTATTATATAATTATATATAACAAAATATATTTTGATTTCATTGTAATAATAATGTCATCCAATCAACAAAAGTTCTAGTTTGTTAATATGTTTGTGGTGATTCAGGTCCTTTGATTGAACAACATCGTTTGCATGTTAATGAATTCGTAGAAAGTCAGTAAGTTAGTGGGGAGAATTCTTTGAAGAATGGAGGATATTTTGTATAATTCTTGGAATTAGATAACTTAATATTAGAGGTTGATGTAGTCTTCAGCTTTATTGTAACTATATATTCTTTTGGGTACAATTATTTTCAATAATAATGTATCATTGCTTCTAATATATATATATATATATGCAAAAATAATAAATATTAATAAAATATACAGCAATACAATATATGTTGCACGTCTTGTAATAAAATACTGGTTATTTCAAATTAATATCATATATTATCTGCTTGTGATGAATTATTAATTATTTGTTAATTTGGTGAAGGTGTTGATTTGATCTCATTGTCACTCTAATTTATAAATTGTTTATTATTTACTCTTACCTATGTAAGTTTTCATTTCTACCATTAGTATTTGTTAAATGTTATTTTTACTATCATCATTCCCATTGGTTTTGTGATACCCGAGATTTTCACTATTCATTGGCTAATATATATTTCATATTTTAGGTGTTGGTAAATTACTTATACATTAATTTGTAGTAGTTTAATTATACTTCATGAGTTGCATACATTAGTTCACTTGCGTATTAATTGTTTAATTATAGGTACTGTTTATATTATTTATGTGTTAATTTATAATTAGTTGAGTATAATTCATACTTTGAGTGCACTTTATATTATTTATATGTCACTGGTGATGTTAAGTTATTTATTTTACTATTGAATATTAAATTGTTTATAATTTGGTATATATCTTGCCTGTTTATTAATAAGAAAACATTATCATATGAGAGTCCAGTAGCATACAAATAAGTTGAGTAAATTAATTAGATATTAGTGGTGTAAGTTAAATATAGATCACTTGCAAATTTATTATAGTAATTAAATAAAAAATAAAATAAATAGAATAATTAAATAAATAAAATAATAATAATAATAAAATAAATCAATAATAAATAATAATAATAATAAAAAATAGAAATTGAAGGCCGTGGGGCGGGTACTAATCCCCACCCTCCACTTCAATTATCCATATCAATTTAGAAGATAATAAGAGAGGTAGAGGCAACGCCAAGAAAAAGAAAAAAAAAAAAATTACGCCGAATTCGTTAAAAGTCTAGTTCAGCTATTTTTTTCGTATTTACGAATTATTGCTATTTTTACTAAGTAGAGGAAGTTTTGAGTAGAAATAATTATTTAGTAAATTGGGGTAATATTTGTAATTCATTGTTGTTAGATACGATACTGGAATCGTGAAAAGGGCTATAAGAGTTAGAGTTATTGACGTTTTTGGTAAATTTCAGGTAAATAGAAATTCATTTGCAACATTAGCTGTAAATTGCCTCACATATAAATATATAGTTGCAAATGTGAGGCAATATAACTATAACTGTTCACTTTTAACATACTCGCTATGTGAGGCAATTCACATATAAATAGAATTGGCTAATGTTGCCTCACATAGAAATTCGTTCTTGGGCTTCATTCATTCTTTTGTGGGCTTGCCTCACATATAAATATATACATATATTTATCTGATTTTACTAATCACTCCAAATTCTCTCTGCTCTAAATCACGCCGCCGTGCTTCTCCTCTTCCATACACTCTCCTCCACAAATAGAGCATTGCGCCGCCACTGTTTATTCTCCTCCATACATTTTTTCGCTCACTTGTGCACTGGTTTACAACAGGCGATTGTTTAAATCACTTAATTCCATCACATCTCTCTCGCACTTGAATCGATCTCCGTATCAATTTTCTGTCATTCGTTTTGCTGCTATATGGCACATTATTTCTTGTATATTTCTTCCATCTCTACTTCTTCCGCAGGTTACTGATTGACTTATGGTGTGAATATGTAGCTCGTTTGCTCGTCCTGGTGTACAAATACCATGGAAAGCACATGTGAATGAAGTTGATGCCATAGTTACTCCTTTATTGTTGTATTGCTCTTTTATGTTACTATTTTTTATGTGTATTTGGAAATTACTTTGATGTTTAGATAAAATTGTTTCTCTATGAACACTGTGCTTTTCTAGTTGATTCATGTGTTGAGAATAATTAGATCCTTTATAATCGGTGATGAGAACTCTTATTGCTCCTCTCATTTGTACACCCATAGTTCCTGAAATAAATATGTTGAATTGAGCGTAGCCTTTGCTCACTCGAACTTAATTTGTGTGTTGTAATTGGTTTACAAAAGTTATAATTAACAAGAGAGGGTGCCCATCAATCTCGAAGATGTTGCTGATATTTGTTTATGCTTTCAGGAGTTAGACATTCCACCGATTTCCTCTTCATCAGGCCCGTTTTGGTCCAAGCTCTTGCATAAATTCTCAATGAGCCTACATTCACGACAATTCTACCTTTGGAGGCAACATTAGCCAATTCTATAGCGAGTATGTTAAAAGTGAATAACTATGATAAATTGACTTAGAGGCTGGATAAACGGGAAGAAATCCTGCAAGTCCATTTGAACTTTAAACAAAGTTAGAGCTCTCTTGAGAATGAACACATTGAGACCATAATCATATATCTTGAGAAGCAAATATCAATTTTTGGTAACTTGATGATCACTTTGCGTTATTTTATATTTTGTATTTCTACAATATCTTAAACAATATGCATTGTTTTTGTTTTAATTCATATGATAGTTTATTTTGTTAGGTAGTTAATGTATTTTTTGCTTAGGATTAGATTGATATTTTAAGAGTAATTTTTTTTTTTTACCTTATTTAATAATTCAAATGTTTAATTAAGTATTGCATCAAAATGGAAAATAGTTGTATTCAAATTCTTCCAATGGTCTTCCAAGTATATATGTGTGATCAAGTTTGCTAAATTTATTTGGTTTTAACTATTTGATTATGGATGTCGATTGGGGTGTGTTGATCTTAGTTGGATTGTGTGTGGTGGATTGTGTTTAGATTGCTGGACCAAGTTTGTTTAGCTTCCATTGGTTTGGTTGGAGAGATACGTAGAGAAGGGGTTGTTTCTTGGTTATTAAAATAGTTTTGGGTGTTGAATTTTACGTTGGGTTGCTGCGCTTTGAATTTAAAAGGATTGAACCTATTATTTGAGTTTAAGGAACTAAACTGACGAGTTTGAGGTTGGGCATTTAACAATAACCAAGATAGGCTAATCGAACGAACTTTGGTGAGGTTTAGCTTGTTAGGATGGTGAGGTTTAGCTTGTTAGGATATCATGGGTTGCATAGGGCTCAACTCTTGTTTGACGAGGTATTTGGACTGCATTCGATTGATGAGACTATTTTGATTGCACTATGTTGATCAAAGAAAGTTGACGGCATAATGCTAATTTTTAAGAATAGGTCTCGTTGACTTTTGAAATTGATGATTTTAACTTTTGTAATTATTGCGCACCTTTATTTATTAATCCTTGTAATTAGCCATGTAATCCTAGCAATATGATTTAACCTTAGGGATTTTAATTTTCTCTTTTATGTTATAAATTCGTTTGTTAAAAAAAATATATATATTTACATCAAGATTTAAAAAGAGTCGGTGCTCCATTCCATTAATTTTTTTATACTTTAAATTTATTTTAATTAGATATATATAATCTTATAATTCAATTATCAACCAAATAACATTTTATTATAATACCAAAATCAAACTACTAACTACAGTGCAATTAATAAGTATACGTACGGATCGAAAGTTGGTTCAAGTCTTAATTGAAGAGGATGAGAGTGTAGATTTGTAGTGACGGAATGACTAGGTAGGCTAAGCACCACACCACACAACATCACAGCACAGCACAGCACACCAATCATTCATAATAACTCTGCCTCATGACTAAGAAATATTATATAATATATTATTATTTCTATGAAAAATGAAAGGGAAAGTGCCTAACACGAACACCATCCTCTTTCACAAATTAGGGTTTGCCTGCCTTGTTTGGTAAATCAGTTGCAGAAAACATTAGGTACAAATGACTAAAATTGTATGGGGATGCCTTGAATTTCCCTGTCCAAAAAGTCTAACCAAAATTGTCCTCCACACCCACACCCACACCCACACCCACTCACGCTCTTTCCTCTCCACTCTTCCTTTGCCAAAACCCTTCTGCAACAGTATCTATCATGGAATTCATGCCCAGGTCACAAACTATACAGTTTTGACAAGTAAATTCGGTCCCCTCCCCTCCCCTCCAATGGGGTGGGGTGGGTGGACCATATCGCCATGCCCACGCCAATCTCAATCTCAATCTCTCTCTCTCTGCATTGCATTATTTTACTCTTTGACAAAAACAATTCTTTGGCCCCCCATTGCACAGCACTGACTGGCAAGCCAGGAAATTTAATTTAATTTGATTTAGTAAATGAATTCTGTGTATAAGGAAGGAAGGGTACGGCTCCTGCGTCCAGCAATGGCTGAAAAGGGCAAGCCAAAAACTTTGAAATTTCTGGTGGGCAAGATTTTGTTACTGTGTGTGTACAACAAGGGGAGCGGGGAGTACAAGTGGGGAGATGCTGCATGGGGAAAAGCTCATCCCTTTCTCTTTCGTTGTCATGAGCAGTATTATATTTTTGATGGTCCGTACTCTGACAGCGACCACTGAAGGATGGTGGCACATGCTTCCTGTCAAATCATTTTTTATGGGACGGCAGGGATGCCCCGTACGGTCCAGCGGACGGCCAAGATTGCACCTTTTTTCTCTCTCTTAAAGAAAGGAAAGAGAAAGAGGGACACTCACTGAAGCATTTGCCATTACATACACAGGCATTCTCTCCCTCTCTCTCGTATACACGCACACACAAACACACACCCTCTCCCTCTCTTTGTCTGTCCGTGTCTCTCTCTTTCTCTTTTATCCTGAGATGACTGCTACCAGGTCGAGCTTGGTCGGGAGGACTATAAAAGGTCTCACTTGATTTTGTTGAAGAAAGTTGAGAAAGACAGCGATTGACTGGCTGGCTGGCTGGCTGGTTGAGTGAGTGAGTGAAAAAGTTTTCCATATTCAGCTTCTGCTCTCTTGTTGCAGCTGCGGAATCTACAAGCGGACGAGGAAGAAAGCTTGGTGTGCCCAATTTCCGTGGGGAGGGGAGAATGGCTGGAGTTGGGTTGTTCATTTTCCTCGATTAATTATTGCGAACTGCAATTGGGTTTCTTTTGGAGTTCTGCTGCTGTAAGTACAGTGATATTTTGTCGGTGCGGTGAAAATGCAACTTGGGAGGATTTGAGATGATAAGGATGAGGATACTGCTGCAGCAGCTCGAATTGAGTGAGTGGTTAGGGATTAATGTGTTGAGAATTGGAGTTGAGGGTTTTTTTCAGGATGGGAGTTTCAGAGAGAGTTGTATGGCTGGATATGCAGTTGTAGAATCATCGTACTACTATACTAGATTATAATATATACATATATATATATATAGATTTATAATTGATTCAAGTGTGGATAAAACTATGAAGCTTTCAACATCAGGGATGGGTCAGCAGCCTCATGAAGGTATCCGCTCTGTCGTCTCTAATTTCTACATACTTTTCCTTTTTCCTTTTTACGGCTTCACCTTTTCCTTCTTATTTTTTAGTGCCAAATTATTTTCGACGTATTTCTCTCTCCGTGTGTGTCTTTGTCATTGAATTTTTGTTGCTTGTCTTTTTCTTGAAAAGACACTCAATTTCAGCCCCACTGTCCAAGAAGGGGGTATTTGTTTCTTAGTTGATTAGTTTAATTGAATCTATTAATTGATTGTGGGCTTATGTATGGAAGGGGAGAAGAAGTGCTTGAATTCTGAACTATGGCATGCTTGCGCTGGTCCATTGGTATCCCTGCCAATGGTTGGAAGCCGTGTGGTTTACTTCCCCCAGGGTCATAGTGAGCAGGTTTCTCTGCATCATTGCGTCGTCTTATACGTGTATTTTGAATGCTTGCTGTGCATTTTCTAAGGATCTTAATTGGCAACTGTTCGGGCAGGTTGCTGCCACAACAAATAAAGAAGTCGATGCCCACATACCGAATTACCCTAGCTTGCCGCCTCAATTGATATGCCAGCTCCACAATGTCACTATGCATGTTGGTTTTGTTCTAGTTTTTCATTAGATGCTTCAGTATTACTTTTTTTTTTATGGAAAATTCATTAGTTCATTAAATCTTGAATGGTTTATTTGTTGCTTGAGTCTCAGGCAGATGTTGAAACGGATGAAGTATATGCTCAGATGACGTTGCAGCCGTTGACTCCGGTATATCAAACTTATGCTAACAATACTTGACACATCATAATTTTGCAACACTTGGCGCAGGGTTGCTGAGCATGCTAAACTTTTGTCCACAGCAAGAACAAAAAGATGCATATCTTCCCATGGAGCTGGGAATTCCTAGCAGGCAACCGACTAACTATTTCTGCAAGACACTGACAGCAAGTGATACTAGTACACATGGAGGTTTTTCTGTTCCTCGACGCGCTGCTGAGAAAGTTTTCCCACCTTTGGTAAAGATACTATCATGGTCTGATAATTCCTTATGTAGTTATTTTTGAAGGCCTGAAGTGGTCCTTAATTTTGGGTTGGTGCCTTCAGGATTTCTCACAGACACCTCCTGCTCAAGAGCTTATTGCAAGGGATCTCCATGATGTTGAATGGAAGTTTCGGCACATCTTCCGCGGTAAAGTTTCTTAGCGTTCAGCTGTTAACATTTAATTTATGAAACCATCTTTTATGATTAAATTATTAGAGTTTGCATAAGCACTGCCTGCTTTCATAATATGAATTCCAAACATTTTAGTCGGCAAAGTTCCTGTGGATCTTTGAATTTTTCTCCTTTTTTAGTCAGATTTGTAAGTTTAGCAGCGATAGCTTTTCTCTTACCAATATGATTAAAATGGGTTTGAGCATCTACAATTGTAGATATTGGCAAGTGTAATAAATAAGGCAGGTTGTCACTGAAGCATGTGAACACGAGTCTCAAGGACTTGCTAACTAGCTACATTTTTGTGGAATTATGCTCTCAGTGCAGTGCAGAACTTATGAAAAAAATATACTCTTGAGCACATGTACTGTAGGGGAAAAAGTTGTCATAATTTCCCGAAATTTTCATTCATTTGTTTAATATGATTCAGAAGGAGCTATTTTATCTTTTAATTGCTGTTCACTTTTATATACATGTTTCTGAGAGTTGAATATGCTGCTATATTAAAGAAATATGTCAAGTCAAGTATTTTATTGGTTCCTTAACATTGTACCTTTTCTTTCACTTCGGCATTGAAAGCATATGGATTCTCCCAATTATGTCTTTTCTTAAAATTTTGTAGACAGCTGTCTGTATCTTCTCTTATTTTATTTCCCAATAACTGCTGCTGTACTAAGAACACAGAACAAGGAGGTTGTTTAAGAGATGAGTTTTGAAATGGAGGGAACTGCCATTTTCTTAGCGCCTTTTAAAAAGCAGAGATGGTTCATATCTCAGGATACTTGGAGCTTACAAAACAGATATGGGTTTTTGAAAATAAGCTAGAGGAAAGTGTGGAATTCATGAAAAGTCCTCTAAAACACTAACTTTAGAATGAGATACTCCCCTTTGTTAGTGTTTTTCTTTATTATCCTGTAATTATGATTGCAGGAAGATGCATCATTCTTTACACTGGTAACTCCAAATAGGTCTATAATTTTTTGGCTGATTTGGTTATTTATTGGTAATCGTCGTATGCTCAGGTCAGCCAAAGCGTCATTTGCTCACCACTGGCTGGAGTGTCTTTGTTAGTGCCAAACGACTTGTTGCTGGAGACTCTGTTCTTTTTATCTGGTATGCTAGCAGTATTGTTTTTCCAGTCGCAAGTTATGTTTTTCGCATCTATAATTTCATGGTCATATGATGAGTTAAATGTGATTGGGATGGTTTTAGGAATGAGAAAAATCAGTTGCTTCTGGGGATTCGTCGTGCCATCCGACCGCAAACTGTGATGCCATCATCTGTTCTTTCGAGTGACAGCATGCACATTGGACTCCTTGCTGCTGCTGCTCATGCTGCTGCTACTAATAGCTGCTTCACTGTGTTTTATAATCCTAGGTTGTATTAAGTTTTTCTCTAATATTACCCCCCTTCTAGTATCTACTAACATAGCCATCATGAATCAGGGCTAGTCCTTCTGAATTTGTCATACCACTCACTAAGTTTGCCAAGGCTGTATACCACACGCGGGTATCAGTTGGAATGCGCTTCCGAATGCTTTTTGAAACAGAAGAATCCAGTGTCCGAAGGTACTTTATTGCTTCAGTTGTCTGCATCATAATATCTGTATTTTATGGTTTTATCATTTCTGCATATTATGCGAGTAGTAGTTCACATTGTAGTTTGATTGGATGTAAATATACAAATCATTATCAATATGAAGATGCAGACATAAATGATTCTTAGGATCTTGTTCAATTTCCTTGGTGGTTGTATGGCGCCAAATTATTAACTGAATTGCTGATCATTTCAAATGAACTAGAACATGTTAAGGATTTATAAATTTACGGGCTCAGGCTAGCTATAATCGTTTTTAATACTATCATCACAAGACAATACATTGTTCAAAGAAAAAGTAGCGACTCTGTTACATGTGGTTTGTAGTAGAGAAAAACTAATCTATTATATTAACCTCTGTCAAGAACACTGTATACCTAAAATTAGAATCTTCTATTTTAGGAATTTGGATAAATACCTATCCATTCAACGCCTTGGTGAATATGTTTCCTAATTGATCTTTGGCCTAGACTTTCTTTAGAGATGAACCCTTGCTAGCAACCTGATTAATGCAACTCAAGTTTGCTGCAAGATCAAGTTTGAGAGATCTACTTCTTTAATCAATTGTTGTATCTATATTCTCACATACTAGCTGCATTGCAGCACTATATTTTGCTTCAATAATGGATTGGGAAACCACATTTTGTCTTACCTGTCGAAGACACAAGATTCCCTCCAACAAAAACACCATATTCTGTATTAGTTTCCCATGAATCCTTAGACCTAAATCATCACATTGTAAAGCATTCTATTTTAAAGTGACCTTGTATACCATTAAAACTATCCTAGCCCAAGAACCCTTTTCAAATAACATAGAAAATGTCTAAGGAAGGCCAAACGATGAATTGTAGGCGAATATATAATTCGAATTACAACACTAATTGCAAATGCAATGTAAGGACAAATTACTATTATATAGTTTAACCTTCCGCAAAGTCTTCAATATCTCTCATAGTCATGAAACAATTCACCGTTATGCTACTTTGGTTGTAAGTTGAAAGTTGTGGGAGGGGGGAGGGTTGCAATGCTTGGCCTTTGATTCCCTAGTCTCCGTAGATTAGGACATGCCTCATTTGAAATCGAAAGTTGCTTTCTTTTTCATATATATATATATGTATTTCAATTCCATAAAGTATTTTGAATGATCTAAGCCTTTGATTGGAAATCTATGTGGAGGACTTTGTTTCAATATGTACAAGCCCTTGTGAAACCAAAAAGCTTTTCCAACTCCTCTTTGCAACAAAGCCATGGTCTCTATACACATCTTTGTAAAGAAATTTAGAAACGTATTTTTAGACTATTTATGTTTGAAGAGGCTGAGCATATGCGGGGGCAAAAAAAATCAACAAATAGACAAAAGTTGATTTATACCTAGGGAAGAAAGTCTCATAATTGTTTGTGCCATAATTATCCCTAGGCTAAGCATATGCGGCGGCAAAAGAAATCAACAAATAGACAAAAGTTAATTTATCCCTAGGGAAGAAAGTCTCATAATTATTTGTGCCATAATTATCCCTATGCTAACATTATGCGGCGGCAAAAGAAGTCAACAAATAGACAAAAGTTAATTTATCCATAGGGAAGAAAGTCTCATAATGATTTGTGCCATAAACCTCGGGATAATCTTTAGTAACAAGACATTCTGTGGGGCGAACCAAAGAACCATTATTAAGTTTCAATGTAGAAATGCACTAATGCTTGCATCACCGTGCACCCTTCAATTTTTCTTTACCTATGTTTTGGTCATCCTAGTCGGCCTAAGTTGAAGAACATGGCTTCTCGATTGTCTTAATTGTCGACAACCGAGTGTTAGTTGTGTTAGCTTGGTAAATTTCTTTAATCGTTGTTTCCTAAGCAAGTCAACAGCTGGGCTTCTGCATACTTAGCTTGATTCCATTATGAGTTATTCTCTATATTTTCCTATTTTTTGCTCAAATTCACGGTCAATTCGTCAAAGTTCTACCTAGTGACAATGCTCTTAATATTTTCTTTGCATATGACTCAATACATGTCCTCCTACATATCATTCATTAGTCTTCTTGTGTCTATATTCTTCAATAGGATCGTTATCATTCATTAGCCTTCTTGTGTCTATATTCTTCAATAGAATGGCATTGTCTTGTGAAGTATCAGGGCTTATGCAATACTATATCTCAACAATCGCTTGCCTTCTTATATTTAGAGCAAGGTTTCTCATCAATATATGTTTCCATCCAATCATGCGCTTTTGTACCTTTTCATGTCTTTGGTCTACTTCTTTGTCCATAATCACTCTTCTGGCTTTGATAACTATTCTCATATTCTCTGAAGTGCATGTTTCTTGGGTATTCTTTTTAGGAGGGGTACAAGAGCTCTTACATATTTAAGCATCAATATTTATTTTCAGCTGATGTCATATTCCTTGAGCCCTAATTTTGTTTTTTCATGTACCATTCCATTTCTCCTATGCTTTTTATTCCATACTAATCACCTCTTATTCCTTCTGTTCTTCCTCAGCTTTGCTCTCATTGCTGTTGTCTTTTCTCTGTCCAATGTGATTGTTGATATATATATTTTAGATGGATATTTTGATAAATATTATTTAGATTTGATAGTTATTATTAAGCATGTCTATTATATTAAGTTATTATTTAGGCATATCTACTCGATTAGACTGCTATTATTTGAGTTTATCTTTTGGTATAAGCTTTATAAATAAATCCTAATTTTATTATTAATAAATCTCATAGAAATTTTTGCTAAAATGTAGTGCATTAGAGCCACGAGTACGTCCCGTAACTTGGAATGTACCCGAAGGACTGCATTTTGAATATGAAATCTACTACTGCTTCGAAAATGTTTTTCCCATTGTAATCTGTCAAATTTTCAATGCATCTGACCTATAACACCACCGCCACCATATTACTATTTTTGAGACGACACTTGCCACCATATATCATCACAGAAACACGTATAAGTTACCTGCGGCAGTTAACGCTTGGTCAACACCGATCAACACGGCAACAATTTTGTTGCTGCCGATTTGGCCTCATGTGCAAGTGTCCAGTGTCCAATTGCTAGAATTTTCTGGGCACAACATACTGCAATATTTTCAAGTCATCTGTCAAGTTGCTTTTAGTTCTTTGATCAAGTTTTTGTTTTGGCATTCAATTACCGGCGCTCTGGAGTTTCTACGTATTAAGGATTAATTTTTTAAGGTTTAGCGTTGCTGTAACGACAAAGAATTGCAGAAGCCGCCACAATAGAGGATCGCCGTTTAAAAATTCTCAATTTGATGTTGTCGCAACAACAGATAAAGGGGCCAATTCGGGATTGTACCAAGAGAAATAAACAAGCACGCAACCTCTTGGGAGAAGGTCTTAGTATAATCTTGACCATAGACTTGAATAAATTGTTTGGCAACCAAATGAGTCTTAAACTATCAAGTTTGCAATCCACGCCACTTTAATGGCATAAACCCAACAAAGCGCAATGGTAGATTGATCCAAATAATCAAACTAGCTCCCAAGTACTATTCTCATTCAAGGTAGCCATGAACATTTAGTGATCACATAAGGGTACCGTATAGTAAATTCCTGATCTGAGATTGTTTTTTGTCTCATTAGTTGTTCAACGAAGGAATTTGAGTCCTGATGTAGCTAACCTTTGACATTCGATTCATTAGGGTCTAAACTTTCCACCTAGAAAAGTGTTTGCCGAGACGCATCTATAATGAAACTAATGATACTTTCTTCAGAAGCATGGATCACGCTTTTATGTTTCATCCACTATTGCCTACCTTAAACAAGGGTGAGAGTGAGCCTCTGAGACAGAATTGGGGATAGAATCGGACTTAACATACTTACGAAACTATAAAAAAAGAGAAGACAAATGGTGTTAATTAAAGAAATTATAAGTAAGGTGGGGATTATGTGTTGAATGAGTTTCTCGTTAAAGGACCAATGAAGGAGAGTTGTCAATGCCAAAGGGGGTGGGACCAACAACGAGTTGGAGACCATTGAAAAAGGAGGTATGGTTTAGATATGGGTAGTTGAAGGATGAGAACAATCAAAATAAACCTAAGCTTGAGGAAAAGAGGGATTAATTGTTTTAGAGGAAATGAGAGGGAGGACTATTGAAATGGGAGGAGAAGAAGAGGAACGGCAATCGAGGACTCGAAGAATTTGACATCAACAAAAAAGAATATTGACGATGTTTAGTTGAGTAACATTTGTATTCCCATTTAAACCTTAGAGTAACCAAGAAAGATGCATTTAATAGCACATTGAGAGAGTTTATCTAGACCAGGAGAGTGATTATAAACAAAACATGTACGCCCAAAAGTATAGAAGAAGGCATGCGATTGATGTGGTAATAAGTAGCCCAAAACTAGAATGGAACATTGTTATGAATGAGAAAGGTCTGGGCAATTTCAATAAGGTGATGGTTTTTATGCCCCATATTCCTATTTTTCTGAGGAGTATAAGTACAAAAAGACTCATGAATGATATCATAAGATGACATGCATTGAGTGATGAAATACTCAAAACACATTATCACAAAGTAAAACTTTGATAGACAACCTAAAATAAGTTTTCTGAACGACTTCTCAATAGGTAAAGCCAATTGCAATGTGAAAAATCATCCATGAATGAAGAAAAATAGACAATGAACAACTAGGACCCAAATATCTAATTGGACTAAACTAAAGGGTGTAGAAAATAGTAAATCACATGTAACTCATGACTTACACTAATCAACTGTCCCACAGGGTGATCCTAGATATAGATTCGGCATCAAAAGTGATTGAATAATTTTGTTATGGAGCCGGGTATAGTCAAGGTCTACATTAGAAGGGAGAAGAAGAACCTACTGACCTAGGACTAATTGTGGCACAAGATTGAAGAATTCATCATTAATTATTATTCTATTTCTTATTGTTCATTCTATTATTTTATTTCCTATTTAGTTCTTAATTATGAGTTTTGGGCTTGGCCCATGAGTCTGCCTATATACAGAGCGCATTTAGGTCATGTTACTGTAGATAGTCATTATCTTGGTTTTTAGTTACATAGCGAATTGGTTTTTCTCTTGTGGTTATATATTTTCATTCATTCGAATAAAGTTCTCCTTTGATTAACCTTAAGTTATAATAATTTGGTTTGACCTGCCAGATCCTCTACCGACGGAATCATGCCTCTCTCTAATCAACAACGATTTGAGCTACTAGAATCAATCATTGGGAAAATACAAGGGGAGGTAAACCAAATCCGTTAAGATATTCCCGCCAAGCTCGAGACTTTGGGAGAACAAAACACAAATTAGATGACGTCGTTATGGAAAGAGTTGCTCGTAGCGATCACAGCAGCGGTTGGCAGCGTCAGCTCCGCCGTTGATGCCACCGCGCCAGTGGGTCAGCCACAGACGTAATTCCCGGTGCCCCAGCGTCACCGCCTATGGCGCCGCGTCCATTCGCACCGGATTCTTAATCGTTGGGAGGCTTGACCCCCGTCACAGCGGCTTCACCAACCCGCTCATCTAAAAAGTCAGAGTACCACCATTTTACGGGATGGAGCCTATTGGTTGGGTTGCTTGTGCCGAACAACTCTTTGAACTCCACGAGGTTCGAGCAAAACTCAAGGTGGCATTAGTGCGCATCGCCCTAGAAGGCACAACGCTGTACTGGTCTCGATGGCAACACTTTCGCCATCCAACCACCATTTGGGTGGAGTTTTCCCAAGCCCTAGTACTTTGTTTTGATGATCGTTACATAGAGAGCCCTTACGAGCGCCTTGCATCACTTAGACAAAAAGAGGGAGTTGATCATTATATCAACGAGTTCATCCAACTGGCGACACAGGTGCCAAGCTTGACAGATGAGCACTACCTCGGATAATTCATTGGGGGATTGCAACAGAACATCTGCAATCGTCTTAGGACACTTGACCACTGCAACATTGAGTGAGAATTCAATGTTGGTTCTGTCACGACATATCAACCGCTTGGACAGTCTGTGATTTTGCGCCATAGCGGCGGGGTATGGATTGGGCCGCCGGTAGGTCTCTCTAGTCTCGGAAATGGCATCGGAAACAGTAGACAAGGCATGGACAACAGCTCCACTGGGGGACGTCCGGCGGCATCGGACCTATCCTCCGGGCGAGTCCCCTTCCGGAAATTGAGTCATGAAGAATATCGCGAGTGTCAGTCTAAGTTTTGTTATCGCTTCAAAGAGCTTTATACACCATTGCATAAGTGTGCGAGCAAGTTCCTTCGAATTTGTGTGGTGGACCCAAACATGAATTGGGTGGCCAAGCTCAAGGAGATAGACGAGGTCGAGGGGTGGACAGAAGATGAGGTCGGATCTACTGAGCTCAAGCAGATGGCGGTAGAGACAAGACGAAAAGCTCATTCTTCAAGTTTTGATACATTGAAGGGGATTAATGGACGAGGATTCGACTTGGATTGATGAGGAGGAATTGCGCCTCTAGTTTCCGGACTTCCGCCTCGAGGACAAGGCGATTTTCAAGGAGGACGGAGTTGTTATGGAGCCGGGTAAAGTCAAGTTCTACATTAGAAGGGGGAAAAAGGACCTACTCATAGTCTTGGGCTTGACCCATGAGTCTGCGTATATATAGGGCGCATCTAGGTCATGTTAGGGTAGATAATCATTATTTTAATTTTTAGTTACAAAACGAATTGGTTTTCTTCTCTATTTCCATTGATTCGAATAAAGTTCTCATTCGATTAACCCTAAATAATTTAAATTTTTTTAAATATAATTTATGAAATCTTAAAATATTTTATAAAAGTTTTGTAGGAAAATATGTTTAAAAACTTGTTAGTTTTGGTAATTTTGACGCTTTAAAAGCATTTTCAATTTTATTTTATCAAAGTATTTTTTTTCTTTCTAAAAAGCTTCTTTTATTAAAAATTATCCAAACATAAAATAATATGCTTTATTTTTTGACTTCTAAAAAGAGCTTTTGGCTTTTTGTATTTTTTTTTGTTAAAAGAATTTATTTTTGTTTGGAATAGTTTTTTTTTTTTCGTAAAAACATAAATAGTTTTTGGGCTCTAGAAGTATTCTTTTGATAAACACCTTGGGACGTGCTTCTGAAAAAAAAAAGCACTTCTAAAATAGCTTTGATGTCATATAAATAGGGTATTTATGTGATATTTTAATGGAAAATTGATGTGATATTTCTGAAGGAAAAGAGTTGATGCATAGTAAAAAAACTTTAAAAACCCCACACCCCAACACCTATAGACTTAATTATGGAAGATAATTAAGATTTTTAAATATAATTTGTAAAGTTTTAAAATAAGTTGTAGAGTTCAATTTTTTGAAGTTGAATTATATTTTTATTTTAGTTTATATATTATAATTAAATTAAAATTAAGAATATAATTAAGATACTAAATTGAAAAATATATATTTTTAATTATCCTAATTAATTTAAATTTTTTAAATATAATTTATTAAATCTTAAAATATTTTATAAAAGTTTTATAGGAAAATATATTTAAATTAACTTGTTAGTTTTGGTAATTTTGACGCTTTAAAAGCACTTTCAACTTTATTGTATCAAAATATATGTATATTTTTTTTTTTTCTAAAAAGCTTCTTTTATTAAAATTCATCCAAACATAAAATAATATGCTTTATTTTTTGACTTCTACTTTTAACTTTTACTCATCTCTTAAGCCAATTAAAACTTGCCCTAAGAAAGGCACTCATGTAATTTGTAGCATCGCTCCTTGGTGTGTCCCACCAATTGCAATGAGTACAAAAGCGATAAGGGCCATCACCTTGACTAGTAGGCTATTAGAGGCCACCTTTGGTGCAAAAGTAGACAACAAGACTGAGCTTCCACCATTTTCAGTATACTCTAGAGAAGACACAGGCAACATGAATGGGACAAGTTTGATTGCCACTTTATCCGGAGAAGGTGTTATATAAGCACATTGGTATTGCCTATGTGCCTCCCAATGATTAGTTTGTGGTATCTTCACTAAATCACGTAGAGGTCCCCAAATCAAGTATTTATGGACAAGTTGATACATATGATTTATGTTTCAACTTGAGAAGTGTTAGTAGAATAGTGACCCATTGGACTACTATGTGTTTGGATATACCTACAGTGAAGCCACCATATTTTTATTCTTAATTGAATATTTCACAGTGCTCGAAAGTGCATTCTGGTGTATTGCAACTACTTAAATTGAGCAAGTACTAGAGAATTAAATCTTATCAACATCACCAACTGTAGAAGTTTCATATGTATATTATATACTTGCATTTCCTGAATTGTTGGTGTTATTTTCTCCACATCCAGATACATGGGCACAATTACCGGTATTGGTGATTTAGATCCTGTTCGATGGCCAAACTCTCATTGGCGTTCAGTGAAGGTAACTCAATCCTCAATGTTGTTGTAATTCACTTTATTTGTTATAGTTTCTTATCTCTACATATACAATCTGAGAAACTTTCACCAACTTGCAGCACACTACCATGTTATGTGAAGGTACTATCAATAAGAACCTCCTCTCTAACTGATAATCATGGTGCAAATATACCCACTTGATGTCTCTTTAAATACCACATCAAATATAATATATATTGCAAGTTCTTAACCCTGCTTTGACCTCAACTATATTATATGTTTTTCAATGTAAGAGTTATGCCTAAGAGAATGATTTAGTAGATATTTTCTACAAATCAAAAGATATTCTGGTCTTTCATAAATAAATTAACTATATACACTTGTTCATTGGCCATAATGAAACTGTGATATGATAAAGGATAATACTGAATCAATTCATTCAATTGTATAAACTATGAAAATTGAGAATGTAAAATCATGCAAATTTAATGATAGATATCCATAATTGTGCCTAAATGCTATAAAATTTCATTCTTGTTGCTAAAGATAATGAGTATCAAGAGTAGAAGCTAGTATATTTGTTTTCTCAACCTGAAAGCTCTACTCTTACAAAACGCAATTCCCATTTCTATATTTTCATAGAGATCCACTATACCAAAGTTAAATTATTAATAGTTTGAATGATATGGCATAACTTGACAACTGTAGTTAGATATTCTCATTTTCCTTTATTTATTTGACACTTCTCAAGTTTGATGTGTAAAGCTAATATAATTATTTTTAATATTTTTACTGTTAAGAGTTGAATTTGAATTTCACAATAATCGATTTGTACACTTAGTAAATAACACACGCACAATTCATTACTGTATAATTTTATGGAGTGTAAATATTCTTATTCATTAAACTAGAACAAGTATAAATAATAACTGCATCGGTTTCAAACTCATCAGATTATATATGCATGCCTTAAATATTAATAAATACTATAAAGTATGATTAGCGCAGTGCAGTTCTTTAACTCAAAAGCTTCATATCAATTATGAATAGTTAATTGATTGAGTCCAAGTTTTACTCTGAGGAGAGACTCAGTAAGAAAACATTAGTGGTTAGGTGATTGCCGCAGCTTATCTAGAGCTGCTTTAAGTTGCATGAATTGAAAATTCAGAAAGTAACATAGCATCTCTGAATAACAATATACAGACATTTAGAGGGGTAATATTGATCATGCTCATGTCCATCACCCAAGGTTTTCTTATATTTAATTTTCTGTGCTAAGCTGTTGATGTAAACGTAAATATCTAGTGCGGATAATCATAGTGTGTATCATACACTCAACACTTGCCATCACAATCAATGAACTTCAGTGCCTTAATATGAATTGTTTTGATCGTTACATGTTTCTGAAGTGAGATTGTAGCTCTTTAATTTGGACTTTCACATGGTATCTTTATCGGGTTAACAAATCTGCATTGTGGTAAACTAGCAAATGCAAGACTTTATGCATAATCACAATTCTTTTGAGTCAATTTAAGCATCTTTTGCAGAAGTAAGTACTTGATGTTTGTGAAGTTTAGAGGAATGTTTATTGTTTGAAGCAGTACCTATGAGAATGAAGATTGAAACTACTGCACTTGATTACTAAAATCAATCTTAATGTGTATCTTGCGAACCAAATACATGATATATGAGATTTGCCATAAGGTTTTTAGCTGTGAATTCTTACTTACGACTTCAGTTGCTGCTACGCTTTGATTTCCTACTTGCTAATTTCTTTTACAATTGAATTTGCTGCTAACCTCTAGATTGTTTTTTTTTTTTTTTATTTGATTGCTTATATGGATCTAATGTGTTGAATAGTAACTTGACATTGTTTTTTTTTTTTTTTTTTTTTTTTACTGCAACGAAAGTTGTAAATTCAGCACTTATTCTATCTTGATGGTGACAAATGCCATTTATATTGGCTATATGTAGCATACTTGCGTGGCTAACTTCCGGTTCACTTTAGCTCTTCTGCAGTTTAAACATACAGCTGAAAATCTAGCATGAACTATGGGATATTCATTACTCCCATTGCAGTTCCATAACTTCATTGCAAACTGATGCAGTTCCTCAAATAGCAAACATACTGTGCTCTTTGGCTATGCAAATTCCACAAAAATTAAAAATAATATATATATATATATATTAGAGAGAGAGAGAGGATGGTTTTATATAAATAATTACAAAACTAGTGCTAGAACAATGCAGTGACATTATGTTTGCTAAACTTACAAAGGCAGTGATAATTATTAATTATTCTGTAAGATTAATGACCAAGTGATCTGTTTTTGGCCACAGAATGATCAAAGTCTTACCTCATACGTTTTCTTAAGAAAATAACAAGATACAACCACTACAGAAGTTAGTGAGAGCAAACTAGACAGAATACAAGGGCAGCTGAATATATCACTCAAATCAATTGTCTAGAAAGTTATTACTACATCTAACCCTGAAATGAGCTGTTTGTGGTGTGTGATCACTCTTGGATTAAAAAAAAAACCAATGTCACTAGGGAATGTATACCTCATAAACACATTATTAAAAATAAAATAAAATGGAATGACAGGTAGTTGAACACACATGCAAACTTTTTAAACATTACATTTTCCTTTTCATTTATTTGAATTTAGCTACATCTAGGGGAATATGCTGTGTCCCTTTGATATCTTAACCTTCAGAATTTTCATTAATGTTACAGTTGTTCAATCAGTAATTTTTCATAACATGAAGCAAATAATGAGTAATTGCTCCTACTTACATACATATATATATATATATTCCGCTTCCTTTGGTTTTTCCTGAGAAGCATCTCTGTGTTTCTTTTTTCCTTGTGGGGCAGTATTCAGCTTTAGCTCTTATTTGAGATCTAATTCACTGTGCTCACATAATCTGATAATACTACAATAGTTTGTTGTTCCACGTGATTGTACAAATAAATGATAGGCCATCAAGAGATCTCGCATCACCCATAAGTAGCTATATATTCAATAAAACTAAAAAAGGTTGTCGTTGACTGAGTTTAATAGCTATTAAGCCATTTTATTTGTACTTAAAAGCTAAAAGTTCTCAAATTACAAAAAGGTGAATGCAAACCAAGGAATATCTTTCAAGAATTGTGAACTAGAAAAGTAAATGCAAAATCTAATGCACATAAAACTGTATAGAAAATGTCAAGTAGTACATAATGTTTGCCTCCATGCTCAGGTGCTAACATTTTCATACTTAAAATTCTCTAATATCCACATTGCAAATTTTCTTTTCTTTATTATTATTATTAGTTCACTTATGATAAGCCTGGGTGTTCAGTACAATGCATCGTAGGAAATACACTGCATCCGTGAATAAAGGTTAAGAAACAAGTATGATGGTGCGGCATCTACATCTGTTTGTCATGAAATGACTGCGGTGGTTGCTCTGGTGGACTACTTCATAGCTTTCAGCATCACTGATGCTCTTTTATAATGGCATTATTTTATTGTGCTTCCATCTTCTATGACATGTGAAGGGTTTGCTCCCTGGAATCTGTTCATGCATGTTGAGGTGATGATTGATAGTGCTTTGTTAGATGTATTATCTTGAGCTCTGAGGTTGTCAGATTGCGTGATCTCGATCCCTTGCCTTTAGTAGAGTTCAAGATATTGATTTTGATGAAGATATACCCAAACAACAAAGAGCACGATAAAGAGGATTATGATGAATTTGTTGGTCATTGTCAAGTAATAGGATCTTGAACATACAATAAAGAATGTTTTTGTTGAAGAGATTTCAGTTGGATGACTTGGGATTACGCTTGTAGAGAAGGAATGACACCATCAAATAATGGTGTGTCACATTCCTAGCGTAGAAGAATTGTCTAGGTTTGAGTAGGAAAATCCTCAACTTTAGCATACAAGTGAGCTACGCTAGTTTCTCTCTGTTTCTGTTATCCACAACATTTTGTATCTAGGATTGGTGAAAACCAATTCAAATGAGATTTTAAAAATCACAACATCAAGATTGTTGATCAGTTTAGCATAAAACTTGATAATATACTCTTGATGAAGGAGGCTGAGTATAATGTTCAGGTTCCTTAATATTCTCTAAATCATTCTAAAGAAGAGGGATACATGAGTTTAAGCAAAAATTGTTTCCAATGGCATTGCTGTATCCCTTTTAGTGAAGCCTTCTTCAGGGATGCAAAAATGTTTTGCACCATATACTAGGCTGTACATGAATTGCGACTTAGAATGGGTTGAGGTTGTTCACTCAAGTTGACGTGTTTCTATTGGTTATGTATGATGATGATATTGTGTTTACTAAGAGACAAATTTACGGTTATTGGGTTAAAGTTATTTATGCAAGACAATTTCCAAACAAAGGACTTAAGGGCCTTTGAACAAGGAGCTGAAATAATAAAGAACAATAATTGAATTTTTATATCTAAAGGTGTGTATATTATGGAGGATTATATGGAATTATTTAATCATTATGTGTTGATAACACATGAGGATTATTTAAACACAACTAATCTCATGTAATAAACACATCTAAAGGAAGTATGTTCTTGATCTCACAAGGGGATTAGAAATGTAGAAGCCAAAGCCTTCCATTCTAATTATCCCAATCCATTAGGAGAAAAATAATAGTGAATTGTTTCATCGTTGTCAAAGAGAAGAAGGAAAAAATAGAGTTGTGTTTTGTATTATCATTACGATCAAAGTACAATACTTATAATCACTATAAGTACATCTAATTAAGGAAAAAGAATAAAATTAGTTTAGTTACAATGAATCAAAAATTTTGATTTAATGTTTATACTCTATCTAATACTAAAATATATTATGTTGAATATTAGAATATATACTATTTAATACTAGGATATATTCTAACTCTCAAGCCGGAGAAAAAATATCATGCATTCCCAATTTGCTACATAACTCGTGAAAGCGTTCAACATCTAGTGCTTTTGTGAGGACATCAACTACTTGCGTAAGAGTCAACAAA